AAAGGCACAATTGAAGAGGAGTCTTGAGTTGGGTCTTGAAGGAGGCAACGGAGCGGGTGAGGCGGAGGGACTGTGGGATGGAGTTCCAGAGGATGGGGCAGAGAGGCCCAAGACCCAACCACTGATGGTGGGGCAGGCAAGGCAGGGGACGTGAAGCTGGCCGGAGCCCACTGAGAGTGGAGGGAGCGGACTGGTTGGTATGGAGGAGTAAGGCTGCGTAGTGCTTTGAAGGTGAGGCCCAGGATTTTGAACTGTATCCTCTGAGGGATGGGGAGTCAATGGAGTCAGGCGAGGATGGGGGTGGTAGGGTCGCTGAGCCTGGTGCGAGAGAGGACATGGCTGAGAGTTCTGGATGATCTGCAGTCTGTGGATGGAGGAGTTGGGGAGGCCAACAAGCAGGGAGTTTGCGTAGTCGAGCCTGCATGTGATGAACGCGTGTATGAGGGTCTCGGCAACCTGCGGAGAGAGACAGTGGCAGAGCTGGGCAATGAACCCCCAAAATCACTGCCTACCAATCTCTCTCCCCTACTTTCAAAACCCATCTTAAAAAGAAATTTGACCATCCTAGCTGGCTGAGATCAGCTAACTCAACATAACCCAACAATTAAACCCAAGGGCAGGGGTAGACCATTTGACTCACCGAGCCTGCTCCATTTTCTACGTTCATGGCAGGTCTATTCTTCTAATTCATTCTCCATATCCATATATTGATTGCCTCGCCAATTCTCATTATTTTAAGAACCTCAAGCAGACCACCCTCACCCTCAATTCTCATAACTCAAGTTTATCCAGCTTCACATTCCTATGCCATATTAACCTGTCTGCTCTCTCTGCTCAGCAGGCTCCAACCTGTTCCATGTCCCCCGCCCAGCCCAACTCGCCCCATCACCGGCGGGTCGGGCCTTCAACCTCTCTGCCCCCACCCTTTGGAACTCCATCCCACATTCCCTTCCCTTGTCTGGGAATCGATCCCAGGTCTTCTCACATGTGAGGCAAGTGCTTTAACTACATGAAGTCCTGTAGCTTAGTGGTTAGAGCACTCGCCTCGTGAGCGAGGGACCTGGGTTTGATTCATAGAATCATACAGCAAATAAGGAGGCCACTCAGTCCATTGTGTCTGTGCTGACTCTTTGAAAACAGCTTCCAATTTAATCCCACTCCTCCGCACTCTCCCCATAGCCCTGCAAATTTGTCCTCCCCAAATAATTATCTACTTCTCTCTTAAAAGTTGTTATCAAATCGGCTTCCACCACCCTTTCAGGCAACGCATTCCAGATCTGAACAACTCATTCCGTGGAAACATTTCTCCTCACCCACCCTGTTTCTTTTTACAACTATTTTAAACCGGTGTCCTCGGGTTACTGACCCACCCGCCAGTGGAAATAGCTTCTCCTTGTTCATCCTGTTGAATCCCCTCATAGTTTTGAAAACATCTATTAAGTCTCCACTAAACATCTATTAAGTCTTCTTCTTTGCTCCAAGGAGAATAATCCTAGCTTGTCCTGATAACTGAAGTCCCTCATTCCTGGTACCATCCTGGTAAATCTTCTTCGCATCCTCTCCAATGTATTGATATCCTTCCTAAAGTGTGGTGCCCAGAACTGAACCGAGCACTCTAGCTGAGGCCTAACCAGTGTTTTATAAAGGTTCAAAACATTGGGCAAGTTTCCTTACTCCACACGCCTTTGTTTACCTAAGAAGGAACCTAGTTGTTAGTCGATTGGCGGATCACTTTTCCAGCGGCAAATAATTCCTTAAAAAAAATTGGTCACTCAATCCACACCTGCGTGTGGGACTGCTGAAAACAGTCCATTCACATTACAGTATATTCTGTGAAGAACTTTGGAACGCCTTGAAAAGGTGATAAGGCGCTATATTAAAATGCAAGGATTATTATTATTATTTAATCACTAAACTACAGGATTCCACTGTATTACTATTATTATGAATTGATAAACTGATAGAATTCCATACAATAATGTGCAGTTTAAGTAAACCCTGCCAGCAAGTTCATCTGCACTTACCTTTGTCAGGAATGATCACGCACACTCGAGTCAATTAAACAAGTTTCAGATGGTTTTGAAACAACTGTATGGCACAAAGTTTTTATTTCAGGATCAGATTATAGCAAAGAATTGCAATATATTTCTCATAATTTTTTTAAATAGAGAGTGAAAAAGTCTCCAACTGGGACAAATCCCAGATAAGCAACAAGTGCCCGTCACCCAGGGAAGCGTCCCAGAGCGCCTGAAAGTGGTGGAGCACGACACCGAGCCAGGGGGAGGTGACCGTAGGCATGGTCGAAGAGGAAGATCTTTAGGCATGATATGAAGATGGAGAAGGAAGGGGAAAGGCGGAGGAATAGAGGAAGAGTGTAAGGAAATGCATCAAACTGATCTTTAAAATATTTGTCATTTGAGTGGCCAGTAAATATTTTAAATTGCATAGCTGTGTGCCCATATTATGATGATAATGCTGACAATATTTCCATCCAAGTTTTTCTCATTCAGAAACAATCAATGTCTCAGTGACACTGCCAATATTTCCTGTTGGCGAAGCAGAATTCAGCAGCTTTATGGTTATGCAATAGAACCTCAACAGTTTATGATGAATCACTGCCATCTTCTGGTTGCATGACATCAGGGTCTTTGCATAAGTGCAGTCAGTTAGAGGAACTTGGAAGGGACTCACTGTAATAGCTTCGCACTTAAATATATAGAACTTTAAAAAGTGACAGCGACATCCAAAGAATGTTCTTTACTTCAGCACTTGTCACATATATAATGGACTAGAGCCACAAAATACTGTGAATCTCCTAGATTGTTATGCTATACCTGGTTATCAAGTGGGTGGGAGGAGGAAAGAAGAGAAACTGGCTTCTTTGAGGGTCCTGGTTACATAGATTTCACTGCATGATTATTCGCTTCAATAAAAGTTATGATTGTCTGACAATTGTCTGACACAAGCTTCTGATGGGTTAAAGAGCTTCTGCTTTCAGCAAACTCACAGATGCAAGCAGAGACCTGGAAGAAGTTTTCTGCTGGTGCTTGATCAACGGGAATGAGAAAGAACTGAAAACACCTAAAAAGAGAAGAGTGAAGCCTCTAAAGTCAAAGAAAAGCAGCAGATGGTGAAGTAGAACTGAACTCAAAATTGGCACCTGATCCATGCTGTTAGCTTATTTCAGCCACGGGTAGCAATGAATGCACAAAAAACAGACAATTGTGACTCAGTCGTGACTTCCATACAGTTAGGCTGGTTGAATACCAGGCGAGGACATTTCGGTTATAATTCCCAGTAAGCAGCTAAACTTGGATCATCAATTAAGATAACTGAGGGAGGGAGGAGGAAGAGAACAAAACTGCTTAAGATCTACCTGAACATAGGGAGAAGATATCAAAAAGGGACAATCTATAAATAATAATAATCCTTACATTTGATATAGCACTTTATCACTTCTTCGAGACCTCTCAAATCGCTTCACAGAATATACTGAAGTGAATTGACTATATATTCTATGGAGGAAACAAGGCAGTCAATTGCGCACAGCGGTGTCCCACAAACAGTCGTAGACTGAGTGTCTAAATTCTTATTTTTTTTAAAGATATTATTACTCCCGGAAAAGTGGTCCGCCATTTGACTAACAACTGGGTTCCTATTTACTGCTAGGTAAACAGAGGTTTGTGGAGTAAGGAAATTTGCCTGATGTTTTACCTTGCACGGGAATTGAACCCAGGTCCTCTCGCTTGCGAGACGAGTGCTCTAACCACTGAGCTACAGGATTCCACAGAATTCAAAACAGACGAAAAAAATCTATGAATCCAAGATTGACAAATTGCTTCCAATTTTAACACAGAGTACACTGAAGGTTCAAAATAGAAAGTGCAAAATTCGAGAAACTTTTGGTGAGTTCATTTATTTTAGGAAGAAAGTGCACCTCTGAAAACAGAGCCTTCAATCCAAAAGAAATCAGATTTTGCGGAGCAACAGGGAATAAAGATCATGAAGGAATAAACGGATTCCAAGTCCTATCACAGATGTCAATTGCTCGTTCCAAATAAGGGTATCATCCCGCCAGCTACTGCTACAAGTTCACAAAGTTGAACGTTCCACAAAGTTTGAAGACGTAGAGCACAGGATCTCCCTTTTGAAGCAGTGAAACGTCGCCTCAGCTCAGGTGTGCAACAGAAAACACTGCATGCAATCCTTCTCAGGAGAAGCTCAAAGTCACTTTGGTCACACAACTGCCCTTTGTGTTGGCAGATTTTACATTTACAAAGGCAACATATTCAACGTGTTGTGAAATCAACACAACTTAGAGATCTGAAATTGTGTGAACTTCTAATGCACGAAACTGCTTCATAGAGAGGGGCAATTTTGTCTCAAAGTTACACAACAGTCATCGTGCAGTCATTTTCAGTTTTGGGTACCCCACTTCAGGAAGGATATATTGGCTCTGGAGGGGGTGTAGCCCAGATTCACCAGAATTATACCAGAGCTTAATGGGTTAAATCACGAGGACAGGTTGCATAAACTTGATCTGCTCTCAGTATGCACATTCCTGATGTCAACTGCCCTCTTCAGGTGGGCACAGCAGCTATGAAGTCGGGCAGGGAGAGTGAATCAAGTGGGCTGCTAAAATTAGTGTGAACCGTGTAGCTTGTCAGGATAGTACAAAGCACTTGCCCAGCGAAGAACAACTTACCTGTTAGAACTTTGGGTTGAGGACCTCTCTCAAGATCGAATAATGAGCCACCGTTGTCTGATTACTATAATTCTGCCAGGGAGATCCAGCTGCCCACCCCCTCCACTATACAAATGTAGTTTTGTATTGTATTATCGACTGATGCTTTGGCATTTGTTTGGGTTTGGGTTTACTCTGACTGTAACAAAAGACTTGAAAGCTTAACACGATTTCTCGGCTTCTCCAATAGGAACAGGTACGAAATTGGAGAGGAAGGAAAAAAAGGATTGGTCAAAAGAAATAAAAAAAACAAAAGTTTGAAAAATACTGAAACTTTAATGGACACTAGCGTGAACGGTAAAACAACTTTGAACAAAGGCAGTCAGTCAAGTTACAATTATTTACAGTTTGAATTTTTAGCTGATCCTCCAAAGTGACATCTTAACTCCGTAAATTTTTCTTTTAGACCCAAATGCGTACGCACACATACACACAATTCCCCCCCCCTTCCCCCACCGTTAAAAAAAACTCCAGATGAGTCCCTTAAGATTGTCCCTTACCCCACCATGTCTTTCTCTTTCCCTTCCATCCAATTACGTTTAGTTTGAGAGAGGCAACAGTCAAAACCTTTACATGTTTAAAAAAAATATTGACACATATTCCCTGTGCAAATTTTGCCTTAAGCAAATGGGGAATGCCATGGTATTCAATGCTTCTTTCGTCACACACTTAGCTCACACACTGAATGAAAGAACGTCAGAAAGCCATGGTAGACCTTTTGATATTATACATCAACACCATTTTTGTAAAAAAAATCCTCATTAAGGAACACATATATATATATTTATAAATACTCTTGGATGCCTGAATAGCTGTGAAGCTGCACTTCAATTGCACAACTATCTATTCTATTTGGCAAGAAAACTACATTCAGATTTGTAGCCCATTTCTGAATTATGTTTCCAAAATTTGTCTTTATAAACTGTACACAGCCCTCGTGGGTTTGATTTACATAGGAGGTGAAACAGGAATCTTGTTCCATCATAGTTTATACAGTCTACTTTGTTCAAATCAATGGAAACTTCAGTGTCACGTCCATGTCTTATACCAATTCTTGAACTTAGCAATTGGCATCAGGCTCTCATCTTCCACCCCAAAGATCAGTTTGCAATCTTACTTTGTGAAATCTCTTCCCACATTTCTAAGGTTTTGTCACTTCAGGGCCTTTGTCAGTTAAACATCGGAAAGGATTTTGTTTTAATAGATTTAGAAAAAACGTCAGAATTATGTAGTCTTTAACACCACACAACAAAGTGTACTTGTCCAGATTGATTGTGGTCTAAGAGCTGGAGCTGAGTAGGTAGGTATAACCACAATTCAGAACATTCCCCAATATGATGGTCTAAAACTTTTGAGGAACTGAAATTTGAACATGGAATTCCCTCCGTCAAAGTTCTTCGGATACCTTGAGCTAAAAAAACAAAACAAAATATCGTCCATCAAATAACTTCAATGGTCTTCTTGCGAGACATCATGGATCTTTTACGCAACCCTTCACCAAGCCACGCGGAATAACTTTGCTTTACACCAACTTCAGAAGCCAACCAATTCGCAGATGCCAACCAATTCACTAAGTAACCCAAGGGGTCAGTCAGAAAGCCCTCATTTAGAAAACCACCTGCAGTTAATATAATGAGCTGTCTTTCAACTAACTCGATCTTAAATTTCCAGTTTTTTTATTACCTTTACACCGAATATGAATTGGCAAGCTATGCTTTCTTTAGCTGGTTAGACTCCAGCAGTTACCCCAACACACCCTCTGGGATCCCCAAGCCTTGCCAAACAATGCCTAATACTCTCTGGATTTTGCTAAACTGGGTGTGTCCCTCCAGGGAGAGAGTGTGCATTCCATTCCAGAAACAGGGAAATTGCCATGTTTAGGTGGGATACATTTATAGAATTCTATCTGGTTTGAATACTCTTATGCACGGTGATGGATTTCCGCATGTGTCAGACACCTGGCTGACAAAAAAAAGTATGTGAATTTAGTCTCCAATACACTCATAACACAAGTCGAGGGCAATGGTATCACAATTTTGAAACATACTGAAAAAAAGTCTTCAAAATCAAGACTTAGAATAAATCACAACATTCACTTGAAACAACCTCGATCAACGACTGGCTTGTGCAATGGAATACCTGAAACTCCACTGCGTTGAATTGTTCATCACCATGTGAAAGAATATGCCATTGAACGGGCAGTTTTATATTTACAAGGCCAGTTCGGAAATTGCTTCTGCCTTCCCATCCCCACCAAAGAAAAACTCGACAATGGTATACTGCATTGCATGCCTGGGAATAGCTATTGTCCAATATTTGCTAAGCTCCACTTAGAGCAATCACCCTTTCCCCCTGTCTATTTGGTAATGCATTTTAAAATACGTGAGCACTCGATTGCGATCAAGTCAGAAAACTTAAAACAATGGTATTTTCTATATACATTACAAAATATGTAATATACTGATGGTGGCATATGTGATGTGTGTGGATGGATATCTGTTGCCGCCTTTGGAAATAATGAACTTTCAATGAATTTTTGAAACACAGGATGTACGTACACTGCCTGATCTTTTAGGATTGAAGCATTTGTGTGCATAGGGTTATATCAGAAGTTAAGAGTTTAAAAAACCTGACGTATTATTCTTTTATGGAACAGTGTTGGCTCTCTAGGACAATCCAGTCAATGCACATTCTGCAGAACAAATTTATGGCCATTCCTCAGGTAGAGGGTATTTGTTCAAGAAATAAAAACAGAAATCGCTATGAACACTCAGCAAGACAGGCAGCATCTACGTAGAGAGGAAAGTGAGTTAACATTTCAGGTCAACACTGCCTGACCTGCTGAGTCTTCCCAGTGACTTCTGTTTTTATTTCAGATTACCAGCATCTGCAGTATTTTTGTTTATGTTTTTAGTATTTGTTCGAGGTCTGTTAAAAACACCAACTAAAGGGGACCAAAGAAAAAAAAAGAATAGAAGAGCGAATACAGGTTGCATTTGTAATCCAATTCAGTCACAGGTTAAGGCAGGAACCCAGTGGGCACTTTTAAAATGGAGCACAATGGCAACGAATAACATACGAATGATATACATGAGGATGCAACATATAGCTTCATATACTGCTTTTGGATACAAGGATTACAAAATGAGAGGAAAAAATAATCAGTGAGCGAATTGCTTAAATCTTGTTATCCAACTGACCAGTGATGAATGTTCTTGTGATGAGGACGATTTCTCCGGTGAACTGGCAGAGTTCCTTTTGATTCCCACTTGCTGAAGAGAGAAGGGCATCCTGCTGTGGGCCTCAGAACTGACCGAACGATTGCCATTAATCGCCCTCCCAAATGGTCTGCCAGACATGGGCCTCGGCATGTGTGTTGCGATTAACTCTTCACTGATGGGTGGAATTCTCTCATTGCTGAAATACCTGTACATGTCCTCCCCTGGAAATAATCATATTGAATAATAATACTCATAATAATAATCCTTGCATTTGATATAGCGCCTTATCACGTCTTCGAGACTCTTAAAGTGCTTCACAGAATATACTGTAAAGTGAATTGACTGTATTTGTGGGCGAAATGCCGCAGCCAATTGTGCAGAGCAGTGACCCACAAACAGTCGTAGATTGAGTGACCAAATTACTATGATTTTTGGTAAATTTATTTTTGTTTTTTTGTTTTGAAGAGATTATTGCCCCCGGAAAAGTGATCCGCCAATCAACTAACAGCCGAGTTCCTACTTACTCCTGGGTAAACAGAGGCGTGTAGAGTAAGGAAACTTGCCCAAAGTTGGAGCTTTTCAACTAATTTAGCAGTGATATAGCAGAAGTATTTCCATTTTAAGATTTTAAAGGGACATGCCACGGTAAATAGGGAAAACTATTTTATTACATGGTGGGGGGGTGGGGGGTTATATTCTTTGTGTATATATTTTGTTAAAGCAGATAAAACCAAGGCAAAACAATCTATGATATTCAGAATAAAAGGCCCCCTAAACATGGAGGCAGTGATTGATGTGAGGAGACTGATGTATTTGTGTAATCTAACTCAAAAAACCAAAACCTACTTAAAACAGCACCTGCCATTGAATCCACATATAACGGGGGGGGGAGGGGGGGAGAGGTGTGGAGAGAGGCAAGGGAAAGAGATTTTTAAAATAGTGGCATAAGACTACGAGGAGCGATTAAGTAAGCTGGGCATGTTCACACTGGAGAAGAGAAGGTTGAGGGCTATATGTCTAAGATTCTGAAGGGAATAGATAACTTTGACCAGCTGTTTTATCTTGTACTGAACAGTAGAACCATCGGACATGGCCTGCGATTGAAGAGGGATAAATTCAAAACTGCGAAAATATGACTTCCGTGAGCGAGTAGTAAACCTATGAAACAGGTTCCCTTGGGAGGCGGCGGAAGCAGAAAATGTTGCTTGTTTGAAGAACAAATTAGATAGATTTCTGTTAGATAATAATACCTCGGGATACAGTATAGAGTTTGGGACACCACATGTCAAGCAACTGGTGGAAGGCAAACTCAATGGACCTTGGGCTTCTTTCGCCTAGCAAATTCTTATGTGTTTCAGACAATCTTAAGAACGTTTGCAAAAGCAGAGGTATGTTGGAAGGAATTTCTTCACTCAGATGCTATACAATTCATTACTGCAAATACAATACAAACTTACATTTGAATAGCACCTGGCATGAATGGCAATCGAAACTGAATAGAATCATACAAAATAAAATTGAATTTGGACCCGAGAAGTAAAAATCTATTAAGAGTTAGTGAATAGCTGGAAAGTGGGATTAATAATACTGGGGTGAGAACTCACACCTCCCAGTCTGATTGTCGTGGTCCAAAGCCCACATCAGCACTCTGAATGGCACCTAGTGTCTGCCTGGCTGTCACTCTATTGGAAGCCTGGTCAGCCTTGCCTTATTGAAGACGCCACCTTTCAGGCAAGACATTAAATTAATCTGAACTCAAAGGTTCATAGAAAGTACAGCTCAAACACAGGCCACTCAGCCTATCCCATCTAGCTGATGTTTATACTCTGCACGAGTACCCATTCTACATCCTATCCCTCGTTCTAGCCTTTTCCCCCTTATCCCTCAACTTTATTCACCCTCAACCATTGGTTCAGTCTTTTTTTTGGACTGTTCTCTTCGACCGTGCCATTGGTCACCCTCCTACTACTACCCTCTCTGCCCTCCACCCCTCCAGATCCTAACTCTCTGCTCGGGTCCAAATCCCTGACTGTCCAATCCCTTGGAACGTCCTCACGACATGAAAGGTTGTTGCCCAAATAACTGACTGTGGCAGAGAAGTGTACACTCCCACCATTCTGTGTGGGAACGTGCCTTTCTGCTAAACTCCATATAGTTTAGGCTGTTAAATATTTCCACTTTTAAGTAATGTATCAATATAAAATCCAACTATGTGAATTGAAATACAAACAGACACAAACATCTTCAAGCACCTTTCCTCATATTATAATAGAATTGTGAAACCCTCTGTGCAGAAAGAAATTCCCTGCAAACTAATATCAAATGGACATGTAACTGGTTGGGACTTGCATTGATCACGCAACATGATCCATTTATTTCAGACTCTTAAATATCTAAATGTTTGTTCATTTGGTTTGTTTTAAACTATTTAAAATTACGACCACAAATTTATATCCACTTAAATTTATTGTCGTTTCACTTTACAAGTGAAACTCTACCCTGCCTGCCCTCCACCCCCACCTGATCCCAAACTCCTGCTTGGATCCAGCGCCTTGGGATGTCCTACCGACATGAGAGGGGCTACAAAAATGTAATTTGCAGTTGTCACGAAGACATGATAAGGCACTATATCAAATGCAAGTAGTATTATTGTTACTACTATTATTGTGATTCACTTTTCAATTTACCTTTCCTTCCTTCCACTCGAGGTTTTCGATGAGAATCCATTGCGCCAATCCAATTCCCGACAGGCATCGACAGAGGACGAGGTTTTCCTATTAATAGAAAACCAAATGATAATTTATAGCTATTTTTACACTGCACGTCAGGATAATATTTTACATGACCATTCTCAGTCTTAAAGTCAAAACAGTGTTGAAATACAGTACAAAAACTACATAATGGAAAAAATGCAGGTTGTAAAGAAAGATTTCTTTCAATGACAATGAAAGATTTTATTCATTGAATATTGAACCAAGGAAGATTTGCTATATTTTTATAAGTCACTCGTTAGGCCTCAGCTGGAGTATTATGTCCAATTCTGGGAGGGATGTCAAGGACTTGAAGACGGTGCAGAGGAGATTTACCAGAATGGTACCAGGGATGAGGGACTTTAGTTATGTGGAGGATAGAGAGACTGGGATTGGTCTCCTTGGAGCCAGACATGGTTAAAGGGAGATTTAATAGAGGTGTTCAAAATTATGAGGGGTTTTGATAGAGTAGATAAGGAGAAACTGTTTCCACTGGCGGGTGGGTCGGTAACCAGGGGTCATAGATTTAAGTTAATTGGCAAAAGAACCGGAGAGACGAGGATTTTTATTTAAAAATCACAGTCGTTACGGTCTGGAACTGCCTGAAAGGAATTTGGAAACAGATTCAATAACAACTTTCAAAAGTGAATTGGATAGGCAATTGAAAAGGAAAAATTTGCAACGAAATGGGCAAAGAGCAGAGGAGTGGAGCTAGTTGGGCAGCTCTTCCAAAGAACCGACACAGGCACGGTGGGCCGAAAGGCCTCCTTCTGTGCTGTAGTATTGTATGATTTCCCCTTTCCCTCTCTATTTTAGACACCCTGTACCAACAGTCAGCATTCCTAATTTTTCAGTGAAGCACTCCTGCTGTGCACCTACCCCACTCCAATATCTTGAGGCCTTATAATTTGTCCAATTGTGTTTTCACATTCATTAAAAACTGCATTGAGAATGCATACAAGCCATTTTTTTGGGGGTGGGGAGGGAAGTAGGCATAAATTGAAAATACATAGAGGTAAGCAAAGTTCAGCCAGGGCTAGTTAAAACAAATCATAATAAGAATAGTGTAACAGGGAGCCATAGTTCCTTTCCCTTCATGCCCTTGCACCTTTCTACCTAGTTCCGACCTACTTACCCCTGACTCCACCACCTGCTGCCTTCGTTCAGCTGGCTCTGGCCTCCTGTTTGTCCCTTGTCTCCTCCACTCCACCATCAGTGGCCGTGCTTTCAGCTACTACACTGCAAAACTCTGGAACTCTCTCCCTCAATCCCTCCGCCAGGCCCCTCCCTCCCCACTTTCAAATTCTGCCTAAAGACCTTCCTTTTTGAATGTGTTTATGGTCACCTCCCCCTTCCTTCTCCCCCTGGCTCGGGGGCAGACTCCACCACTGTCAAACACTCTGGGACGCTACCCCACATGAAGAGCGGTATATAAATGCACGTTGTTGTTGCTGTGGTTCCAAATTAGCACTCGAAAACAAGAGACAAGAAGAATGGAAGGATCTTAGTTCAACAATATCCTATCCAGATGGTGAAATTTGGAAAATAAACAATACTTAGCGCAAACAGGTTGAATTACACAGGAAGGTAACAAACCATATAAATATGTCTTGTCCCGCAGTTTTGTCGGTATAAGAATTTCCAATGCATACGGAGGCAAGTGGTCATAATCAGCGATGGTAAATCGGCGTCTCTGGTATTCTTGATCAAGGAAGGAATTTGGTGACTCAGAACCCTTCGGTACAGGCCTTACTGGCCCTTGCTTCCTGACCTCTTCATAATCCAAATCGCCTTTGTCATTCCTAAACATGAGGAAGAAAGAGACCAGAAACTATTTCCTCACTTTTTTTTGGAGGGGTCATTATCCACACAAAATAGTCTGTACAAAATGTGTCATTTGCATTTGATATAACACTTTATCACGCCTTCGAGACGTCTCGATGCACATCATAGAATATACTGTAAACTGAATTGACTGTATAATCTTATAGATTAGTTTCATGTATAAGAGAAGCCACGCAGGCTGTGGTTTCGCTAACACAGAATGGTACCTCCATTTCAATCCCAAAGTTATTTTGTTTTTTAAACTCTTCAGGTGATCAGCAATACTTTTTATGCAAACTATGTAGAGTTAACTTATGTACCCAACCCAGCGGATGGTATAATTGGTAGCAGTTGAACCCAAAAGTAGCAAAAGTTGTAATTCACACGTGCATTCTCACGCAGCTGTTCGAAATTTCCCACAAATATGAAATGTGTACATTCTCATGTGTGAATTAATTTCATGTTCGCGTGCCAGCTTCAACTATGAATGAAACTCTCTGTTCTGCAACTGTGTGAATTTTCATACCGCGGAGTATAGGGTACAGCTGGCGGGGGTGGGATGTACAGATCGTCAATCGCTGGCTTTTCTTTCTTCACAGACATTTCCATCGTGCTGGCTGTAGACGGGGTTATGTTTGGTGGGGAGCTGGTCTGAAGAGGAAAACAAGATACGGGTGGTCAAGTTAACTTCAACCTTATTTGATATTTTCTTAGCTGCAATCCAATTCATCACATATGCAACATGTACAATGTGTTGTAGCAAAACATTTTGTATCATCATTCAGTTTAGGAATTATAATAATACTTGTTTTTGATATAGCGCCTTATCACGTCTTCCAAGACATCCCAAAACTCTTCACAGAGTACACAGTTGGGTCCCTCGAACAGTCGTGGATTGAGTGACCAAATTATTAATATTATTTATTTATTTCATTTTGAAGGAATTATTACCTCCGGAAAAGCAATCCACCAATCGAGTAATAACCGTGTTCCTACTTACTGCTAGGTAAACAGGATAGTATGGAGTAAAGAAACTTTCCTAAGGTTTCACCTTGCCCAGGAATTGAACTCGGGTTCTCTCACTGCAGGATATTTTTGTTGAGGGGAAACAAAAATCACTGAAATAACTCTGCAAGTGTTACAAATATTCCATCTTGCGTATTCTTGGCATGAACCACGAGAATGATTGGAAATTATTCTATTCCAACAATTTCCACATGGCCCGGTTATTGGCCTTACTCCACCATTCAAAGACAACAGCATTTCTGTGAAGGTCAATTAAATATATTAAATAAAATATAGTTTAATCATAAAATATTGCCATGTTCATAATACTGTACAGTATTCACTTTATACAGTCAATCGATTTTACAGTATATTGTGTGAAGTGCTTTGAGATGTCTCGAAGACGTGAAAATGCACTATATTCTCACACTTCAAGGTCCTCACAATCATGTTCAAACTCCTTCACTCCCTGCCACCTCCCTACCTCTCCGACCTCCTGACTCCCCAATCCACCACTCTGTGCCTCCGCTCGACTGGCACTGGCCTCCTGCTCATCATTGTGTCCTCCGCTCCACCATTGGAGGTCGCACTTTCAGCCACTACGCCCAAAACTCTGGAACGCTCTCCCTCAATCCCTCAACCTTGCTCCTTTTCTCTCCTTTTTCAAGTCTCACTTGAAAACCTTCCTTCTCAACCGTGGTTACGGTTACCTGCCGACCCCCGGCTTGGAGTCAGGTTCCACTACTGTTAAGCGCTCTGAGCCGCTAGCCTGCATGGAGGGCGCTATATAAGTGCAACTTGTTGCATATCAAATGCAAGGATTATTATCAGTCGTATTAAAACTGCAGTCAGCTTTTTTTTCAGATTGGTCCAAACTGCAGCTGAACATTCAAATAATTAAGAATTTTAAAATCCAGTCTTTTGGATTAAATACATTTAGGCTATTACAACTTTAAAAATATCTCAAACTCAATTCTTCACCTGTCACAGAATTAGACTTCCTTGATATGGTGTCACACATACAAACAGGAGTATATTACAGAGAGAATATTATATTATATTATATTATATTATATTATCATATAAAATAATAAAATAATATCATACCAAATTGTGGGTGGCAAGAGAATATTTCCGAGAATTGTTTTTTTTATTATTTAAAAAGGCAACCAGCTTTTAATTTAAGAGTCATATCATAACGTGCCTTTCACATCAGGAGGATGTCCCCAGGTGCTGGATAGACAGGGATTTGGGACCAAAGCTGGGGGTTGCGATCGGGAGAGGTGGACTGCAGGGAGGGTAGGAGTAGGAGGGTGACCGAAGGCGCGGTCGAAAGAGGAAGGTATTGAGACGTGCCTTGAAGGAGGCAAAGGAGGGAGTGAGGTAAAGGGACCGTGGGATGGAGCTCCAGATGGTGGGGGCAGAGAGGCTGAAGGCTCGACCACCGTGAGGGACACGGAGCAGGCTGGAGTCTGCTGAGCGGAGGGAGTGGGCAGGTTTATATGGTGATAGCAGGTCATAGAGGGAGGAAGGAGCAAAGCAACTGTACTTTTGTCACCTGTGCAACTGGTGGTTTCCAGCGCATGTTCTTCAGAGGAGCGGGAGTAAAATTGCACGTGTTGGATGGTCTTTTCTTCAGCAGCAGTGCCACACACGTAGGATCCTCTCGCAGTTTTCCAACCAGGTTCTTTAATTGCCAGCCAACCTAATGTGGAGAAAAGAAATTACAATTGAACGTTATCGACTGTTCCCACTCTTAGTTTAGTTTCCTGTAGCATTCAAAGCTCAAATGATCAATTTTAATTCTCCTGTTCAGATGCACTGAACATTATATCACCCATCATTTTGGGCAGAAACCTTTGGCAGTTTGTTGAACCTTCTGCAGTAGAGCTGTCAATAGCATCAAGTGGATCAGTGAAACTAGGAGTGGATGCTTTTAAAAACTTTGGTGGTTTAATTCTGAAATATAATTGGGAAGTATTTAAAGGGTGGCAACTCAAGACTGCAGGCCTTGCCAGCATATAAGAAATGTTTCAATGTAGGTTCTTATAAATAATATAATAATCCTTGCATTTGTTGCAGCGTCTTATCACGTCTTTGAGATGTCGCAAAGCACTTCACACAATATAATGTAGTGAATTAACTGTATATATTGTGGGCGAAACGCGGCAACCAATTGCGCACAAATGTCTCATAAACAGTCGTGGATTGAATGACCAATTTATTATTATTATTCTTTATTTTTTGAAGGGATTATTAACCCCGGGAAAGCGATCCGCCAATTGACTAACAACTGGGTTCCTTTTTATTCCTAGATAAACAGAGACGTGTGGAGTAATCAAACTTGCCCAACATTTCGCCCTGCCCGAACTCAGGTCGCCTCACTTGCAAGGAGACTGCTCTAACCACTAAGCTACAGGACTCCACTCCTTTGTGATGGTGGTGGTGGGAGATCTCCTTAGAGCTGAGCTTTCTTCACAGCTCAGGAATGCCAGTTGGGTTCTAATTACGATTACCATAGCTAGTCTGCCAACTCAGCACAAGCGACGGATCAAAGCTAGATTTTATGCCATTGTTTTTGTGGAGTCAAAAGGAAACCTTTTATCATTCACCAATTTTTTTTCTTTCATTCACATACACAACAGTTTGCTGAGGGATCTTGTCATCTAGTAGATCAGCAGCTGATAAAATGAGGTGTTGATTCAAAAAATGCAAGTTGAAAAAATTCAAAAAAAGGTAGCCAAGGGAATAGATTCAAGATAATTGGCAAAAGAACCATAGGGGAGATGAGAATTTTTTTTTGTTTTGTTTTTAAAACACAGAAAGTTGTTACGGTCTGGAATGCACTGGCTGAAAGGGAGATGGAAACAGATCCTATAACCACTTTCAAAAGGGAATTAGATAGGGACTTGAAAAGGAAAAATCAACAAGTACATGGGAAAAGAGCAGGGGGAGTGGGACTGATTGGGTAGCTATTCAAAGAACCGGCACAGGCAGAATGGGCCGAGTGGCCTATTTCTGTGCTGTAATATTCTATGATTCTATTCTATATCTTGGAATCTGATCAGCTTTATCAGATAGAACTGGCATGGTAAATACATGAGCCGTCTCCTCTGTACTCACCACAGTCTGCCGATTCACCTGGATCACCTCATCTCCGGCATGAATCTTTCGCGATCTATCAGCAGGCGACTGCAAAACACAGAGCGGTGGCAAAACAATGAATGTTTGTTCACTATTGAGATCTAGGTGTATCAGACAATAATAATCCTATATCATCTTTGCATTTGTAGACTTGTCATCAGCGGTAATAATCATTGATTATCAGTATCTTTCAGTCTCTCACATTGTCACAACAGGCTGCTGGATGTAATGAACTAATCGCAGCTATAAAATGGATCTTCATTCACTATTTACATGAAGCTTATCACGTCTTCGAGAAGTCTCAATGCGCTTATACTGTAAAGTGAATTGGAGTTGAGGTACAGATCAGCCATGATCTTATAGAATGGCAGAATAGGCTTGAGGGGCTAAATGGCCTCCTCCATGGGTTTCTAATAGCAATAGTGGCAGATCAGAAATGTGAAGCCTAAACATTTCCTATTTTAGGGATCGGGTGAATTTCAGTTGCTGGAGTTAAAGGACGAGGTTCTGGTTTCTAGATACATTTCATTCACATTGTTCCATCCGCACCCAAACCGACTTCTGTGAAAAACAACTCATCTCGTGGGACTGGTCCCTTAATCACATAGGCTAGTTACCAACATGTACAGACTTGCAATGAGGTGGAGGGAAAAAAAAGCATCAGCTTATACAGGGCCTCCATGAAACTATTCTCTCATTATGCAATATCACGAGGAAAAAAATGTTCATGCGAACAATGCGAAATGCTCGCCCAGAAGCGGAGGTTGAAACTAAGCAGCATTTAAAAAGGAATGGGATGACCACTTCAAGAAAAAAAAACACACACACAAAAGTTTATTAGGAATGACAAGGGGAATGGGAAGATCACAAATAGCACTAACAGGGGAGCTAACACCACCAATGACTTCATTTATATAGACCACTCGCACACGGAAAGGGTCCGAGAGTGCTCAACAGTGATGGAGCCTGACAACAACAGGGGTGAGGGTTAGGGTTAAAAGAGGAAGGTCTTCAGGCATGACCTGAAGATGGGCAAGGAAGGGGCAAGATAGAGGGATACAGGAAGAGTGTTCCAGAGTTTTGGGGCGTAGTGGCTGAAAGAGTGGCCACCAATGGTGGAATGGAGGGCATAGGAGACATGCAGGAAGCCGAAGCCAGTCGAGCGGCATAGACTCAATGATTTGAAGAGCCTTGCGCTGCCTCACTCTCAAACTCCAAAATATGGAAAATGTAGAACATCAGGTAAGATTTGTGCTTGTGGCACGTGCTCTTGTAGACTTGTCATCAGGGGTAATAATCATTAATCAGTATTTTTCAGTCTCTCACATTGTCACAACAGGTTGCTGGATGTAATGAACTAATGGCAGCTGTGACATGGATCTTCATCCACTATTTACACAGAAATGAAGGGATGGAATCCTTTGTAATCAGGAAACTCAGATAAGTAAAAGCATATTCAAATCTTTAATTCCATACAGCAGAGTAAGAAACTCAAACCAGATCAGCAGCTTGCCTTCGTGGCTGCTGATCTTCATTCACAGTGCTTACAAAACATAGTGCTTTGTCAGCAGAAAGTTGCTCTACGTCCCCTGCCTGGCCCACCCCACCAACAGCAGTTGGACCTTCAGCTCAGCCTCTCTGACCCCACCCTCTGGAACTCTATCCCAGTCCTTTCACCTTGCTTCCTCCCTTGCCTCTTTCAAGGCACGTCTCAAGACCCTCCTCTTAGACCGCGCCTTCGATCACCCTCCTACCACCACCCGCCCTGCCCTCCACCCCCACCTGATCCTAACCCCCAGCTCGGGCCCAAATCCCTGACTGTTTTCCTGACATGAAAGGCACTGTGTTAATGTAGCTTGTGGTTGTTGTTGAAACAAACCAGATTTCACAAGTGTGAGAAAATGCAAATCCATTGCTCAGAGCAGCAACCCGTGCCCTGAGGCCTCTGGAGAATGTTCTTTCCTTCACTATGATCTCTGGCAGGACTTACTCACAGGAAGGACTGAGCAGAGGGGAAGGGGAAGAATACAAATGGCACATGTGGATCTGAACCTTCAACAAAAGCAGAAAAAAAATCAGCTGTTCAAGAGAGCGGGAGAGAGAGAAAACAAAAAGAGGAAGAGGGGAAATTTTCAAAAAAAATTAGAAAAGACTGCTTGGGAATGCAATTATAATAATAATCCTTGCATTTGATACAGCGCCTTATCAAATCTTTGAGACGTCTCAAAGCCCTTCATAGAATATACTGTAAAGTGAATTGATTATTTTTGTGGGTGAAACGCGGCAGCCAATAGCATGCAGCAGTGTCTCACAAACATTTGGGAATTCAGTGACTAAATTATTATTTATTATATTTTTTAAAAAAAGGAATTATTACCCCATGTGAAAGCGATTCACCAATCGACTAACAACCGGCATCCTACTTACTGCTATTTGAAAAGAGACATGTGGAGTAAGGAAACTTGCCTTACATTATGCCCTGCCCAGGAATCGAACCCAGGTCCTCTCACTTGTGAAGCGAGCGCTCTAACCACTGAGTTACAGGACTCCATAAATGCTCTACAATAGAGGTGACAGATCCAGAACCAATGAACTCAACAAGCAAAGGGCAGGCAGATACCAGTTTCTAGACTGTTAGTTGCTAGGAGGAACAATGTTTAGAATCATTGGCCTCACCTGGATACAAGCATTACCTGGTGAGAAACCCTACACTACAAAATTTATAATGTTACTTTGAGGCAGATTGATAAAGTTTTATTTCTATCTTCTTTCTTCACCCTCGAAGCATTGTCTATAACTTCAGTGCATCAACAGTTAAACGCCTGTAGGTTAAATAAACCACAGTACTGTATTCTATATTGTTGATGGTACCAATTAATCATGTGCTGGGATTAATTGGTTTTAATTCAAGGATAAATTTAACTTGTGCAGTCCTGTAGCTTAGTGGTTTGAGCACTCACCTCGCAGTGAAAGAACTGGGTTTGAATCCTGGGCAGGGCGAAAAGTTAGACAAAATGGCTTACTCCACACGCCTCTGTTTACCTAGAGCCTTATCACACCTTCGAGACATGTCAACGCGCTTCACAGAGCATTCTGTAAAGTGAATTGACTGTATATTTTGTGGGCGAAACGCGGCAGCTAATTGCGCACAGCAGTGTCCCGCAAACAGTCGTGGATTGAGCGACCAAATTCTTTTCCTTTTTTAAAAAAATCACCCCCGGAAAAGTGATCCACCAATCAACTAACAACCGAGTTCCTACTTACTGCTAGGTAAACAGAGGCGTGTGGAATAATGAAACTTATCCTGCCCGGGAATCAAACCGAGGTTCCCTCGTTTGCTGGGCAAGTGCTCTAACCGCTAAGCTGCAAGACTCCAAAAATTCCAATAAGTCAGAGACATTTTATTTGGTGGAAACATCTGCAGTAAATATGCATGCTAACTGGAAAAGGAAAGGTGCCTTAAGAGTTCTCAGCATATTTAGCAGTTTAGCATCTGGAGAACATCTGGCACGTTATTTAATCTTCTGAGTGACGAAAAAATGTACCATGAAGATATAAAATATAGAAAGTGTTTCAGTAAGCGACATGCAAAACCAAGCATTATCTGTGTGTAGTGTTTTTTTTGGAGGTCAACCGGGTGTCTTACACATGCAGAAAGCAGAGTTTTAGCTTGTAGGGTTAACAGGAGCTGAGTGTGTAATGTATGTGCTGACAAACAGCAATAAATTATTTGGACTGTAACCTTTACATCCACCAAAAACAGTCTAGGCATCATTCTGCTGGATTTTATTATTGGTACCAGTTGTTTTAACTTACTCTATTTTTTGGGAATGGTCAACAGGAAGTGACACTGACCACAACACAATAATCCCCAAGTTGCTCTTCTTTTAGTGTATATAAAAAGTTACCCAGTGTTTCAAAGTGAAATTATTTCAAAATAGATAGATATTTGTTACGTCATGGTATTAAGGTGTATGGGGCAAGGGCAGGTATTGAGAGTTGAGGTACAGATCAGCCATGATCTTATAGAATGGCGGAACAGGCTCGAGGGGTTGAATACTCTACTCCTGTTTCTCTCTCAACATATCTGGGCTTCTGTATGCATGTGGAAGTGCTGGCTAGTAATCTCAATTTTTTTATAGCATTGCTTGGAAATTTATGGATACCTTCCCCCACCCCAATTCCCCAATGCCACCAACTACCATAACTTTGTCAACAACACAAATGGATCTTTCATGTTCATCTGAAGAACAGGCAGCCTTCAGATGAACACGGCAGTGTCCCACAAACAGTCGTGAATTGAGGGACCAAATTTTCTTTATTTTATTTGGAAGGGATTATTAACCCCAGAAAAGCGATCTGTCAATCGACTAACAACTGGGTTCCAACTTACTGCTAGGTAAACAGAGGTGAGCGGAGTAAGGAACTTGCCCAATGTTTCGCCTTGTCGGAAATCGAACCTGGGTCCACTCGCTTACGAGACGAGTGCTCTAACCACTAAGCTACAGGACACAATGAGCTGAATTGCCCATTTGTGAGCCTATCAAAGTAGAGCCAACGCTATAAAAATGGGTGGCAATCAATTAGTAAATAATAATGATCCTTACATTGAATATATGTTGTCAAGACATCTTAAAGTGCTTCACGTGATATATTATGAAGTGCAGTGACTTGTGGGTGAAATGTACATGAGATACAGAAGTAAACTAATTCAGGCATTGCAACAAAAAATTTGATTCAATTCAAACATACAAAATTAGGCAAGAATACCTTACATCAAATATTAACAATAACTGTTGGCAAAGTGGCTGATATCATGAGACCGGCTTAGTTTTTAAGGATTCGATATTACAACAACAAAATTACATTTGTATAGCGCCTTTAGAGCTAAAGTCAATGCTCTAGAGTTGGAACAAAATGGTACTTCATTACTTACATTTTCTGTCGTCCCGGTTACAATGTGTAATCCATCGTATGTTGATTTAATATACATTCCCTAGAAAGAGAAAATCGATTTTACTTGAAAGGAAAAAAACATGGAGGAAGTTCCTGCTGTTAATCCCTTGTTTCTCTCAACTCGTTGATAATTATTAGGTCAGGGTATCGAGGGCTACGGGGCAAGGGCGGGTAATTGGAATTGAGGTATAGATCAGCCATGATCTTATAAAATGCCGGAACAGGCTCGAGGGGCTGAATGGCCTCCTCCTGTTTCTATGTTTCTAATTCTGAAGCCTTTAAATCAGGTAAACTTATTGCCCCAATTGAGATCGGAGGAGTCTTTTACTACCCTCTTTTCACTCACTCAAGAATCTGGAGGGGGCTAATCCACTGTAGAACAATGTTTTTGTCAGCAACCGTTGGAGGCATCAGTACCCACAACGGGAGTGTGGAAGCCAAAAACAGACCAGCTCTGCCTTCCCAAATTCTGCTTCAACCTGACCTACTTCTGCAGAGTTGTTCTTAGAGACTAGGCACAATATACTTTCTGTTTAAGTAAAAAGGCCCTATTTGCACAATGTGGATTCCTTATCATCAACAAATTACATTTACACAAGGCCTTTCACATCGGGAGGACGTCCCAAGGTACTGGACGATCACGGATTTGGACCAGAGCAGAGGGTTGGGATCAGGAGGGGTGGAATTCAGGGAGGGTAGGAGTAGGAGGATGGCTGAAGCCATGGTCGAAGAGGAGGTTCTTGAGATGTGCCTTGAAGGAGGCAAGGGAGGGGGCGAGGTGAAGGGATTGTGGGATGGAGTTCCAGAGAGTTGGAGCAGAGAGGCTGAAGTCCCGACCGCTGACGGTGGGGTGGCCCGGACAGGGGACATGGAGCAGGCCAGAGTCTGCTTAGCGGAAGGAGTGGACAGGTTGATATGGCATTAGTAGGTCACAGAAGTAGGACCTTGGGAAGTCCTCCCAACGTGAAAAGAGCTATAAAAATGTAATCTTGTTATTGTAGGAAGGAGCACGGCCGTGGAGGGCTTTACCAGGAATCTTGCTAGAAATCATTGCCTTTTAGACACCAGTATTGACACTGTTGCTAGTTTCAGTCAATGCTCTCTCTGTATGTTCTCCCCCCGCGCCTCCATTCCTGGAACAGTACAGTGCCTAGAATAGCAAGTTTTCCAGGCACCAAAATTCAGCCCACAAAAGTACCACATGGTAAAAGGGCAGATTCCACCATGCTCGGAGCTTTTGGCATGATTTCCAAAGTGCCTCATGCAGTCTTGAGTAATGTAGATTATAAACTTATGCTGTATTAAGTGCGGCACAATATTAAAATTGCGATTACTCAGCCATGACTGGCTGCATACCATAATTGACATTTCCCTGATCATAAAGCATAGTGCTGTAGATTTGATCATCATCTCTGCCTTCCTTTATCCGTTTAACTTCAGTTCTGTTCATAACTTGACTTTACCCCATTCCAGGAATGACAAACGTGAAATTTGAAAGGGCCAACTGTTTTCTAACGCACCGTAAAAGCAAAACCCCATTCTACTGAAAACAATACTTTTAATATTTGTTCCATCAATCAATTAGTAGTGAAGCACTTAAACAGCCTCTTTTAAAAACTGAAATAGGTACAGAATATAAACACAGCAATTTTGCATTAATTTTGGGATTGAGGATCTTGACCTCTGTCCTCTGGGGGATGGGGAGCCAGTGGAGCCGGACGAGGGTGGGGGTGATGGCGTCACGGAGCCTGGTGCGCGAGAGGACACAAGCTGCAGAGTTCTGGATGATCTGCAGCATGTGGAGGAAAGAGTTGGGAAGGCTGACAAGCAGCGAGTTGGCGCAGTTGAGCCTAGATATGATGTCTGAGGAGTGCTATTGGGATGTGGATCCAGGCATTTACATCCTCCCAAAATCCAAACAGTGCAGAGAAAGCCAGTGGTCACACTTCAAATTGGGTTGTCTTGCCTTGCAAATGCCAGCTGTCTGTGTTTTTCTATTCGATACTCCTTTAAGAGTAAATTGATAATTAACAAAAAGGACAATAAGAAGAAGGGCAGGAAGCACTAAAGGACACTGGGAGTGGGACAAAGTGGGTGGTTGTAGAGTGGTGGATTACTAAGAGTTTGGATTGACAAATAGAAAAGCTACTAACACACCCTTGATTTGGATCGAGTAATATTACAGTTTCCATGGCCTTGCTCCTTCCTACCTCTGTGACCTGCTAACCCCATATCGACCTGTCCATTTCCTGTGCTCAGCAGACTCCCATCTGGTCTGCCCCACCTTCAGCAGTCGGGCCTTCAGCCTCTCTACCCCCATCTTTTGGAACTCCATCCCACAGTCCCTTCATGTCTCCCTCCTTTGCCTCCTTCAAGGCATGTCTCAAGATCCTCCTCGTCGACCGTGCCTTTGTCACTCCCCCTACCCTCCCTGCCCTCCACCCCTCCTGATCCCAACACTCTAGCTCGGGTCTAAATTCCTGACTGTCCAGTGCCTTGGTTTATCCTCCTGATGTGAAAGGCACCGTACAGATGTAATTTGTTGTTGTTGCACACTAAAACATGGGCTGCTTTTGGATCATCAGACCATTGACCTGATTTATAGGGTTTATGGATTACTTGATGGATCCCAACTATTAGGTTATAATAAACCTTGTTTGATATAGTGCCTTTCGTGAAGTCCTGTAGCTCAGTGGTTAGAGCACTCGCTTTGCAAGCGAGAGACCTGAGTTCAATTCCAGGCAGGACGAAACCTTGGGCAAGTTTCCTTACTCCACACAGAGCCTAATAATAATCCCGCCAAAAAACAAAACAATGATAAATTGGTCATTTTCAATCTACGACTGTTTGTGGGACATTGCTGTGCGCAATTGGCTGCCGCGTTCGCCCACAAATATACAGTCAATTCACTTTACAGTGTGTTCTGTGAAGCGCTTTGGGATGTCCTCCCGTTGTGAAAAGCACTATATCAAATGCAAGGATTATTATTATTTATTATTTTCACGTCAGGAGGATGTCTCAAAGAATTGAGTGGAAGGACTGATTTTGTGGGTGAACGCGGGCTAAAACAGTTATTGAAAGTGGGCACAAACTGTTACATCTTTTGAGATACAACACAGATACATTGCCAGACAATTTTACAGCTAGTTTCAGACCTCGATGTGTTACGTATACCACAAGTGAGATTCAATACTAGTGTTGATTGGCAATGAAGGTAGGATTTATAAAAACTAGCTATCGAAAATGTTAAAACTGCAGCTTACCAGTCCTTCATTTGGTCTGATGTTGGTTAAATGAACCTCTTCCAGACATGCACTTTGACTCAACAAAGGGTCAGACGCTGATCTGATCGTCTGATCGCAAATGCCATTAAGAACTTTGCACTGAAAAAAATAAGTCAAAGAGGAATCTAGACATATCCACAATATCACAGTTATACACTTCATACTTTTGAGTCTCCACAAAAACAATCCTGCCTCATATGGAATTCAAAATTTTAAATAGATATTTCTTATAATAACTAATCCTTACATTTGAAATAGCGCCTTATCAGACGTCTCAAAGCGCTTCACAGAATATACTGTAAAGTGCATATTTTGTGGGCAAAACGCAGCAGCCAATTGTGCACAGCAGTGTCCCACAAACAGTCGTGGATTGAGTGATCAAATTATTTATTAATTTAAATTAAAAAAAACATTTTTAAAGTTATTATTACCCCGAAGAAGCAATCTGACAATTGACTAACAACCGGGTTTCTACATACTGCTAGGTAAACAGAGGAAAAACATTTGAAGCTACATATTGATGTTGTTGCTAATACCAGCAACCAGCAATAATGTTGTTTGCAATAGAGCAGGGCTTTCTGGGATCAATATATAAACTGATGCTGGCAGCAATAGATTTAAGATAAACATCACTGGTTTTATAATAAAAGTTGATGTGTAAACAAACCATGAGGCAGATAAGGTATTTAAATAAGTCTAATAAGTCTCAACCGAAATGCAAATTATCTTCTCCTGGTCGAAAGGTAACATATTAGGTTGCAGAAGAGGTGGACGGCAGGATACTGAGCATTCATGTCTTGCCCACCAACTCCACAAGCTCTGTTATTGGCCTTACATGGAGGGAAATTGATTCTGTAACAGTTGGACAATGAGTTTATAATTCATATTTCCCATCATATTCAAAGTACAAAAATAGTCAAATTGGGGCACTTACGACATTGAAAACACTCGCTTCCATTTCAAACACAGTGCAGTCCTAGGGAAAAGCAAGGTCAAAAGAAACGAGTGAGGTGACATTACAGATTATACAACAGGCATGCACTGTAAACAACAACAAAATTACATTTGTAAAGCACCTTTCACGTTGGGATAGGCAGTTACGGACCCGAGCTGGGGGTAGGGTGGAGGGCGGGGGGAAGCAGGGCGATTGAAAGCACATCGATGAGGAGGATCTTGAGACGGGTCTTGAAGGAGGCAAGGGAGGGGGCGAGGCGGAGGGACTGCGGGATGGAGTTCCAGAGAGTGGGGGCAGAGTGGCGGAAGGCCCGTACGCCAATGGTGGGTCGAGCGAGGAGGGGGACGTGGAGCAGGCCAGAGCCCGCTGAGCAGAGGGACTGAACAGGATGGTAGGGGTAGGAGGTCGCAGAGGTGGGGGGGGGGGGGGGGGGAGCAAGACCATGAAGGGCTTTGAAGTGAGGACCAGGATCTTTAACTGTATCCTCTGTGTAAACTGTGACACTCAAGATTTAATGTCAGTATCCAGTTACTTACATTATAAAATGAATTTCGTAATTACGACACCATCCCTAAAAGTTTTTTTTCAATATAAATACAAGAGGAACAAATGAGATAGATTTCTGCTAGAAAATAATATCTCAGGAGACAATCTCTAGTTTGGGTCATCACATGTCAAGCGACTGCCAGGATGGTGGAAGACGAGCTAGATGGACCTTGGTTTTCTTTCACTGGGGAAATTCTTACATAGAAACCTCTCTGCACATTGGTTGTTTGCCTGCAAGTCGGTCATTTCAGATGAGGGCAACGTTTTGAAAAAAATATTGTAACCATTTTGATGGCATGCTGTTTTATCGCAACCTCTGATGCATCCTAGTAAATATAGAATAGTTTTGCTCGGAAGGTAAATCCACTTAGTGGCAGTTTCTGCCCGGTTTGAAGAACTGTATAGTATGATATTTCTTATTCCCAAAGCAATCATTAAAAATTAGCATTAGATTTTTCTGGAGTTAACATATTCCTAAATGTTGTACAAATGCATTGACACTTAAAGGCACCTTTATTATCACCGTATTGGAGACTTTGAAAAACACGAGATATTTAGGAGTCTTTGGATTTGATACAGTGCCTTGTAATAGTAGCAACTTAAAGAAATTCACAGGATTTGTAACATTTAAAATGTAGCGACTCCGTATTTTGTACGTTAAAGTGATAACCATCGAGTACACAGCCGCGTCCCACAAACAGCATAAAATGACTTCTATCTGGTTAGGACCCTGAGAAAAAACTCCATCAGTTTTCCAATGGAGCCATAGAGTTTTTAATTGAGGCGATTGTTTAAGAACTCAACAGTACAATTCGAAAAGGGAAGGATTTGCTTTCTTGGCCAACAATCTGCTGTATTTAAAAAAACGATTCAACTTAACGGCTGTTTGTGGAACACTGCTGTGTAAATTGGCTGCCACATTCACCTACAGACAGTCACTACACTTTACTGTACAATCTGTATAGCACTTTTGACATGCTAAAGTAAAATATTAAACACAAGGATTACTGCCGTTTTATTATTATTTGCTAGATTCAAATGCAGTTCGCTCTTCTGTAAGCCAAGTTGAAAAGAGCACAAGAAATCTGAAGTGTGTTCTAGCAATTGCTGCTGCAATACACTCCAAAGGAAAGGGTTTTGTGTAATTACCCCAGTTCCCTTAGCAAGCATGCAGCAAACAAAATCCCTTACAAAGCAGAATCTTTATCCACTTGGGAGGCATAGAGATTGATTGCTAAGCAACAGATGTCTCGGCAAAATGTATTGTCGTAGGATCTTATGTTCCAATGTTATTTACACCGGGTAACACGAGTTTGATCATCAAGCCTTTGAACCATGAAAAAGTAGAGCTACCCCAACTGGACTGGATAAGGTAAAACTGGACAAAGTCAAGCTCATCCACTGGGTCCCATTTGTCATCTCAGTCCCTGGCGGACCTTCACTTGGGAGGGTGAGGAGGAAAAGAATGTAAATCTTCAATCATTTGCCCAAGCAACAACAATAGGTTTTCAGATAATAATGGCTTTCAACCATCCACCCTTTGTTTTCTTAGACAAAGTGGCTTCTCAATAACTGGAACTGCGTTAGCACTGCACATTCCCATCGGGGGGGGATTTTGGCACCTGGGTTTATGTAAATAAGGTTTTGAATAGTGTTTGCCTTGTTTATCCAGCAGCACCTCTCCCACGCCCGGCGGTTATAAAACAAATGAAATACAAATTGCAAAAAAGTTAGCGATGGCAGTTTTGCCGACAGGACAGTTAGTATTCAGCAGTTAACTGTTTTGGGTTACAGCAGTATTTTGGTTTGCAAACAAAAGCAAGTTTGAGTTTTATCTACGAAATGAAACTCTGCAATTCTGCTTCACAAGAAAACCCTATTGGACTTTAGGATTTGAAGTCGGAAAACTCTATGCAGTTATTCGCTCACAAAACACAATCAATTCACTTGGAGTCCTGTAGCTCAATGCTTAGAGCACTTGACTCGCAAGCGAGAGGACCTGGATTCGATTCCAGGACAGAGCGAAATGTTGCGCGAGTTTCCTTACTCCACACGCCTCTGTTTACCTACCAAGTAGGAGCGAGGTTGCTAGTCGATTTGTGCATCGCTTTTCCGGGGATAATAATCCTTCAAAAAAAATAATAATTTGGTCATTCAATCCAAGCCTGTTTGTGGGACACTGCTGTGCGTAATTGGCTGCCGCGTTTCGCCCACAAGTATACCGTCAATTCACTTTACAATGTATTCTGTGAGGTGCTTTGAGACGTCAAGAAGACATGATAAGGGACTATATCAAATGCAAGGATTATTTTTATTATTATGATTATTAGTGAAAAGCACCAGGTTTCCAAGTTTCAAATGGATGCTATGAACCCTAAAGTTTATGGATGACCTGGGATTATTCAGTGTTTAGAAATAACAATTTCCAGCAGAATAATCAGGATTAGACCTGGTTTCAAAACAGTCAAATTCCAATATTTTGGAATGCAGAGCAAGGAGAGGAATATATAATTTAAAACATCCGTCAAATAGAACTAATTGAAGTAGCTTGCCAATATTTAAAAATGTTTCATAGAAGACCTGCAGAATATTGTCATACATTAAAATTTGTGGAGTCCTGTAGTTTAGTGGTTATAGCACTTGCCTCGCAAGCGAGAGCACCTGGGTTCAATTCCTGGCAGGGTGAAACCTCAGGCAAGTAAGGAAACGTGCCCAACATTTCGCCCTACCCGGCAATTGAACCCAGGTCATCTCACTTGTGAGGCGACTTCTCTAAACTCTGAATCCTTCTAAACCCTCTCTACTCTTCTACAGGCACCCTCCCCCTTCAGGTCAGCGGGACAAATTTAAATTGGGATTTGCAGACACCAATTAACATTAGTTTTTCTGAATGAGAACCAATACTGGCGCAATGTTGCCAGCAAAAAGGGCTAAAGGGTTAAAAAAGCATTCAGCGGAAATTTCACCCCTTATTTACTGCGCTGCCACAGACTTCAAACAGCTCCTCGATTTTGACACAGTGCCCAAATCTCGCAGCCCCAGTAGTTTTGCTGTTTACAGTTCCAGATAACTAATAAATCTAACACACACAAAATCCTTCCCTTCATCAAACAATTTCAAAGGAATTTCATGTACACTTTTCTTAAAAGGGGTTACATCTCATTATTTCTGATGAATGAAGTTTGACCGATTATCACAGTTCAATTACCTTCAAACAAATCTTCATGCAAGACAAATTTATGAGTACCAAGGACATCACTTTAATTAAGGTCAACTAAGACATTTAGGGGCTGATGGTAGGGGCTGAATTCTTGTCATCCACTGGGTCCCATTGACTGAGTCCAAGTTGCCTTTTCCCTTGGATGCACTTGAACTAATTAAAATCAAAAGTCACCAGACGTCTTCTAGACGTCTCAAAGCGCTTCACAGAATATACTGTAAAGTGAATTGACTCTATATTTTATGGGCAAAACATGGCAGCCAATTGTGCACAGCAGTGTCCCACAAACATGTAGTGGATTGCATGACCAAATTCTTCTTAATTTTTTTGAAGGGATTATTATCCCCAAAAAAGCGATCTGCCAATCGACTAACAACCGGGTTCCTACCTACCGCTAGGTAAACAGAGATGTGTGGAGAAAGGAAACTTGCCCAACGTTTCCCCCTGCCCTGGAATCGAACCTAGGTCCTCTAGCTTGTGAGGCGAGTGCTCTAACCACTGTGCTACAGGACTCCACGGCGTAGCTATTTGGACAGTGGTAAGATGCCACAGGATCCACGTGTGTGATTCTTCACAGAAACCCCCTGATTACAAGTAGCTTGGTGAGTTGCCAAGCTCTTACTCTCTATTCTTGGGGCTCCTGACGTGAAAGACACTGCACAAATATAATTTTATATTGTATCCTGAGTTCCTATCATGCACGGAGCACTCAGATAAAGACAAAGCAGGGAATCAACAAGATAGGTATATGTGCCTCTTGAATGTGTTCTAAAACAAAAAGTGGGTAATATTTTTAATCAAGTATTCATAAAAGGATTAGTTAAATGTTGCACTGTACAAGCCTACTAATAAAAACGGAAAACAATTTAACGTTGAGTACAAGACTAAATTCTTCAACGAAATTGCATCACGTTCAACAAAAACAGCTTTAGTTCCATCAACCAAGCAAACCAAGCACATGCAAGCATAATTACTAGAATAATTGAAGGAACTGTTGCCACATTAGGAAATGCCTTCACTCTGGAGAAATGGTAATTTAATATGTAAAAGTGAGTGGAAAAATACCAAGACTCTTAAGTTGGCCACAGTAGGAATAGCTTGTGCAGTTTGGAGAAAAACGATTATACAAAAGGATAGTGGGGATATAGCAAAGATTTAGGAGGATAATACCAGTGATATTTGATATAACACCTTATCATGTCTTCGGGATGTCTCAAAGTGCTTAACGGAATATACTGCAAAGTAAATTGACTGTGGGTGAAACGCGGCAGCCAATTACGCACAGCAGTGTTCCCACAAACAGTCGTGATTGAGTGACCAAATTATAATTCTTTTTTCAAATTTATCTTTGTTTTGAAGGGATTATTAACCCCAGAAAAGTGATCCGCCAATCAATTAACAACCGGGTCCCAATTTACTGCTAGGCAAACAGAGGCATCTGGAGTAAGGAAACCTGCCTAAAGTTTTGTCCAGGTCCTCTCATTTGCGAGGCGAGATTCTTCCTAATGAAGTTACCTTGATTGTCTCCCTGACTGTCCAGCGCCTTGGGACGTCGCAACGTGAAAGGCGCTTTACAAATGTCATTTTGCATTGTATCTCTCGTTCTGAGCCTGTAATTTGGATTTTTTTTAAAGAAAGGATTTGAGATTTTATTTCAAGGCTCATTGAATCTCATGCTAGGTCATTACACACTGCACATGATTTCCTCTTTGGTTTGGAAATGCTCAATGCCATGATCAAAAGATTTGTTCACCTAACTGAGCTGCTTTCGTAAGAACAAAGGGCAAACCCTTTGAAGTAAATAGCAATGTTCTGGCAACAGATCAGTATTTAAGGGAGCTTTCAGAAACAAGCAGTTTATCATGTTTTAGCATTTCAGAGTACGATACACATTGAGTTTTGAAATACGGTATAAAATAGTGCTCAAAGGACTTAATGAATAAGAAACAACATACCCATTTATTGATGACTAGTGGAGTGAGGAGACTATACACCGTGGTGATGGGTTTCCATATCCATCACGTGCTTAAGAGTATCCAAACCAAGCTGAGATTTCCATGCATTTCCCACCTACACATGGAAATCCTAAAGATAATGAATGGAATGTGCACACTCTCTCTCTCCCTGGAGGGATGCATCCTGTTTACTTAATTCTGGAAAGTATTAGGCATAGGCTGGCAAGAGCCAAGGCTTGGGGACCCTAGAGTGTGCGTTGGGATAACTGCTGGAGTCTAACCAGCTAAAACCACATAGCTTGTCATTGATACTATAATGACTTGCTGGACGAAAGCTGGCAATAGAATGAATCAAGAGCAGCAAACGCAGCTCCCAAGTAATGGAAGTGTGCTGTGTAGGTCAGGTCTCAAGTTGTTCAGTCATTAGTGCACAAACCTGTTGAACCGTTGTTGTCAAATCCAAGCACAGCTGAATGATCTTGTTTTTCATCCCCGAATAATCGCTGATTCCTGTAAACGGTGTCCTGGAATAAAAGGAAACAAATGGCCTTTAGAACGGTAATGAACCAAACACCCATCAAGTCCCCGTAGCCAATAAACTCTCAGCATTAGTCAATGTATTTAGGGCAGAACGATTCTCAGTGAGGCCTGAATATTTCAGAACCTTAGGAAATGATCAGATCCAGAGCAAAAAATGACCTGCAATTTGACTAAGAGGCTGTAGAATTGCACTTGTGGGTAATCAGAATATGACAATGTGCCAGGAGATCGTACTCTTCTATAATTGGAGCAGAGGCTGATTGTTGGGTGTGGTGTAGAGCGTGTTTTACAATACGAGTGGCCACTATAATGCTTCACCCAGCTTTAACAGGTAGTGTGATTCTAACTGGGTAGTTGCCAGACAGTGATAGCCTACGTGGGTTTTAGTTGATTAAACCCCAGCAGGAGCCTAAAAACGCATTCGAGGATCCCCATGCCTTGGGCAATCTGTGCCGAATAACTCAGTAATAATAACTATAATAATTAGCTAGGTAATAATAATAATCCTTGCATTTGATATAGCGCCTTATCAAAGCATGTACTGTAGAGTAATGACTGTATTTTGTGGGCAAAAAGTGTGCATTTTCCAGGGAGAGGCAATGCACACTCCATTCCAGGCACAGGGTCATTATTCAGGCGTAAGTGAAGGAAGATTACACACATGGAACTCTGGCTTTGGAAACGCTTAAGCATGATCTCAAATTTCCAGATGCGTCAGAAACCCTGATGATCCCAAAAAAACAAAAACATTTACAGTCGCCCAATCTAAGGTGACTCTTTTCTCTTGGCATACCATCTTCATATCAGGCGGTGGATGAAATATAGCTCCCAGGATCCTGCGATCTAGGACGAAACCTTAGGCAAGTTTCCTTATTCCACACACGTGCCTGTTTACCAAGCAGTGAGTAGGAACCCGCTTGTTAGTCAGTTGGCAGTTTGCCTTTCCAGGATAATAATCCCTTTAAAAAATAATAATAAATTGGTCATTTCATTCCACGACTGTTTGTGGGACACTGCTGTGCGCAATTGGCTGCCGCGTTTCGCCCACAAAATATTCAATCAATTCACTTTACAGTATACTCTGTGAAGCTCTTTGAAACTGCCTGAAAGGCTGGTGGAAACAGATTCCATAATAACTTTCAAAAGGGAATTGAATAGGGAATTGAAAAGGAAAAATTTGCAAGGATATGAGGAAAGAACTGGGGAGTGGTACCAATTGAGTAGCTCTTCCAAAGAGCCGGCACTGGCACAATGGGCCGAATGGCCTCCTTCTGTGCTGTAATATTCTATGATTCTATAATGACAGAGCACAGCACACGCACCTGTCCAACCAAGCTAGCAATGCCTTAGCAGCTGCAATAAGATCCACAACTGAGGTAAGGAAGTCATTGGGAGGCTTGCGAGAGGTTGTGCCAACATAACCAGCACATTTTCGTCTTGCGTCAATGAAACTCTGGAGGTTGTTGGCAGTTGCCCGCAACTTCAAGGCGATGTGTTTCATGCTTTCTGTTTCCAGTCCATAATTCTGTAACAAAAAAAAGTCAGAATAAGAAGAACGTTACTGTCTACCTTGAGGAAAATATTCTGAAATAACTCACTTCACCACAATATTTCAATTGCAATCCTCAGAACAAAAGTGATTTGCAAAAAATTTTCGGTGTAGTTTCTTTCCAGTTGAAAACTAAAAACAGGGCAGCTGGAAAGAAATAATCCTTGCATTTGATATAGCGCCTTATCACTTCAGGAGCGTGGCTGAAGGACCGATCGAAGAGGAGGGTCTTGAGACATGCCTTGAAAGAGACAAGGGAGGGGGTGATGTGCAGAGACTTTGGATGAAGTTCTGAAGGGTGCGAGCAAAGAAACTGAAGGCTTGACTGCCAATGGTGGGGCGAGCCGGTCGGGGAATGTGGAACAGGTCTGTTGTGCGGAAGGACCAGTCAGGTTGATATGACATACATCACAAAGCGCTTCAGAGGATTCATGTAGATTGGAGGGATGGAATATTATTTCTGGTGTGAAGGTATTATTAGCATAGTTGGACAGTGAATCATGAGAACACGACAGCCACTTTCTGCAGACCAAAGTCCCACAGACAAGGATGACGTAAATGATCAATCTTATGAGGGCTTATTGGCCAGGAAACCAGGAGAAACTCCATTCTCTTTTCCAATAGTGACATAGGATCTTTGCGTCCAACTGAATGGGCAGACTAGACCTTACTTTAATGCGTTGGCACGACCAAAAAAATTAAACGGAGCACCAGCACTGCATTAGACTGAGTTCAAAGTCCTGATATGGGGCTTGAACCCACAGCAAGCGTCAAGAGTCCTACCAACTGATCCAGGCTGATACTTTGGCAGTATATGGATTCAAACTATCTCCAGAGTGAAACTACTTTGTGGTAAACTTGTTTTATATTAAGGCCAATTTAGGGCACATCATGAATCATATTTACATTACAATTGGAAGCCAGATTCTAGCATGGTGCAAGACACTTGGAAAACAAACAACTAGTCCCCTTGAACAGAGAGCATCAGTCACTTTCAACCTTCACAAGCAGCTTTACATTGACACTTATTCAAACACACAAACGTTACTGTAATGTACACAAGATAACTATTTCCACTGGTCAGTAAGTCGACCTCAAGCCCACAAATCAAGATATTACATTTAAGATGTTACATTTCCAAAAATCTACTGCAGAGTTGTGAGAATGTGGAATTTCTGCACAACATAATTGAGACAGAATCCATAGATCCTTTTAATAATTAATGCATTTAATACAACGTCTTATCACGTCTTTGAGACGTCTCAAAGCGCTTCATAGAGTATACTGGAAAGTGAATTGACTGTATTTTGTGGGCGAAACGTGGCAGCAATTGCGCACAGCAGTGTCCCACAAATATTTGTGAATTGAAGGACCAAATTATTATTTTTTATTGATCTTATTTTTTTGAAGGGATTATTACCCTTGGAAATGTGATCTGTCAATCGACTAACAACTGGGTTCCTACTTACTGCTAGGTAAACAAGTGTGGAGAGTAAGGAAACTTGACCAACATTTTGCCCTGCCTGCGAATCAAATCCAGGTCCTCTTGCTTGCGAGGCAAGTGTTCTAACCACTAAGCTTCAGGACTCCACTTTTTGAAAGGGAATCAGACATATTCTTGAAGCAAAGGAATATTGAAGGATATGGGACCAAGCAGCAAAATGAATCCAGAATGAGGCATGGAGAAAAAAATAGTGTAAATGTAACAGTCAGTTTCAATGCTGGAATAATTTATGTAAATTGATCATTTTAAGGTTGAACACCTACCAGCAAAGCATTCACCCCCTTCAAGATTTAGTATGGAGCAAGAGGGAAAGAATAGCAATGAGCCAAGCACAAACTTAACAACAACAAATTACACTTACACAGCGCCTTTCACATGGGGAGGACATCCCAAGGCGCTGGACAGTCAGGAATTTGGACCTGAGCTGGGTGTTGGGATCAGGAGGAGTGGAGGGCAGGGAGGGTTGGGGTAGAAGGTGTCAGAAGGCACAGTTGAAGAGGAGGGTATTGAGATGTGCCTTGAAGGAGGCAGGGGGGGGGAGCGAGGTGAAGGGACTGTGGGTTGGAGTTCCAGAGGGTGGGGGCAGATGGGGTTGAGAGAGCTGGTGGTGGGTTTCATAATAACGGTAAGCGAAGAAGGGAAGATGAGGCCGACGAGGAGAACCTCAAAATAGGCATGGGCTACAAGTTGACGAATAGGAATTAGAGAAGAGAGAAAAAAAAAGGTCTGTGTCATAGAGAAAAAATCCTCTCAATGACTAAGCACCTGAAAACCACAACTATGACACTCCCACCTACAAAACTGTGATCACAGCAGAACGCCACCAATATTTCATCTAAGTTTCATTTGTGACCAATTTCACACCACATTTCAAACAAGACGGTGCACGTGGAATTTATCGCTCTCCCTGTAAAGGTGCTCGTTTACATTTCATTGGGAGAAATTCAATTGGAAAAGAAAATTCACAGTGCTTCCAGTCTGACTATCACCTTACCTGCACCAAAGATTAAATTTTTTTTTTGCAGAAATTCCCAGAAACGTGCATCTCTGACATAAGAAGTACAGCCCAATGATATTTAATAATAATCCTTGCATATATCATGTCTATGAGACCAATTAAAATCAAAAGTCACCAGCCCAAGCAACAGGATGTAATTATAATAATAATCCTTGCATTTGATATAGGACCTTGTTACATCTTCTAGACGTCTCAAAGCGCTTCATAGAATATACTGTAAAGTGAATTGACTATATATTGTGGGCGAAACACAGCAGCCAATGTCCCACAAACAGTCGTGGGCTGAGTGACCAAATTATTATTATTATTATTTTTAAAAATTACCATGCCCAGAAAAGCAATCCGACAATCAACTAACAACTGGGTTCCTGCATACTGCTAGGTAAACAGAGGCATGTGGAGTAAGGAAACTTGTGCAAATTTTCGCCCTGCCTGGGAATCAAACCCAGGTCCTCTCGCTTGCGAGGCGAGTGCTCTAACAACTGAGCTACAGGACACAATAACTGCATTGATAAAGCCATTCGTTGTCCAATGTGTATGTTAGTTATCATGAGTAGCAAGGATCTGACTCAGCACAGAGCAACAGTCTTTCACAATTGTAAAATAAAATGGAATACATTCCAATAGTTGCAACGTTTCCCACACCTCAGCACTTGTCTCAGTGCTTCACAGGGAATTACTAGCCAATTTAGTGGCTGTATGGGAACAACAAATTACGTTTATAAAGCACCTTTCACATCGGGAGGACATTTCCAGGCACTGGAATGTGAATGGTCTGTCCCGAGCTGGGGCTCCGTGATGGGAGTTCCAGGGTTTGTGGCAGAAAGGCTGAAGGTCCTTCTGCCAACAGTGGAGAGGGGTCTAGATGAATTCACCTTGAGGCCTGATTATGGGAATGTACTGGTGCAATTGATTGCCTCCCAGCACGACTTCTCCCATCAGGCTGTGGAGACCCTCATCCATGCTTTCATTATGTCCAGGCTTCACTATGCTAACTCTCTGTTTGCCAGATGTATCAAAATATGTTTAAAGAAAATGAGTAACAAGCTTGTAAGAAAATGTGAAAATAGGCTCCACTGGCTCCCCAAAATAGAATTCAAAATTCTTGTCCTCGCCTTCAAAGCCCTTCATGGTCTTGCTCCCTCCTACATCTGTGACCTGTCCGCTCACGCTGCTCCATGTCCCCCATCCGGCCCACCCCACTGTCAGCAGTTGGGCCTTTAGCCACTCTATCCCACAGTCCCTTTGCCTTGCCCTGTCCCTTGCCTCCTTCAAGGTCCACCTCAAGACCCTCCTCTTCAAACGCATCTTCGGTCATCCTCCCACCCCTCTCCCCTGATCGGCACCCCCCGCTTGGGTCCAAATCCCTGACTGTCCAGTGCCTTGGGACATCCTCCAGACGTGAAAGGCGCTGTGTAAATGTTATTTGTTGTTGGTGTTAAGCTGAAATTTAATATATCAGAGCAAGAGGTTCTATGCCGCTAACTCCAGAGAAGGCTTGGCCCTTGCCAAACATCGTTGCAACTGACTCTTGTACAAGAACTGAGCTTAGACTTGCTGATGTGTCAAATAGAAAAAGGAACACCTTGACAAGACTGAACAAAGCACAAATTCTTAAAAAGGTCAAGAGTTTGAATTCCGAGGCAGTTACATGCTTTACTGTCCATCTTTGTCGCATGTGGATTGTTAGTACATGCGCGACTTACCACAGGTATTGCAGAAACAAAGATGCCAGAAATAAAATAGGAATTGAGAAGAGATATTACATGAAGATTCTAACTTAACAGCACAGAGTTTTGCAATGGAATGTCAGAATCGAGCCAGACCTCTGTGACGGTCTCTAGTCCAGTTCCTGAGCCAGGAGGGTCCGCAGTATTCCAGGGCACTGCTGATGACAGCACAGCCCAGCCCGGCTCATTGGCCGGATTTGGAAGAGCAAACCACTCACTGAGGGCAGGGAATCCTCCCAATCAGCTCCTGTAACCCTGTAACCCAAGGTAGGGTGGTTCTAGCTGGATGAGCAGCGGAAAAACTTGCCAGACAGCAATATTAATGGCAAGCTATGCGGTTTCAGCTGGTTAGACTCCAGCAGTTACCCCAACGCACGTGTTGGTGGGATGCGTGAAAACATCAGCTTGGTTTGGATACTCTTAAACATGGTGGTAAGTTTCCACATGTCACCTGGTTGCTCAAAAAAAAGCATGAAATATTTACAGTGGAGAATATTCTTATCCAAGCGAGAAGTTTTGGTAGGATGGAAACCTGAAACCTAAACCAAATCCTGACCTGTGATACTCACAGCACTCAGCGAGAGAGTGAGTGAGAGTGAGGGCTAAAAAATATGGAGATGGGAGAGGAGACTCTTGATGTCAGCTAAGATCAGTCAGTAGTCCTCTTCCCTCTGGATTTGTATAGCTCCCCTCTCGACTCTCTTCCCCCTCCTCGCTCCCTCCC